AATTATAAAAATGATTGCCTTTAGTATGAATTCTTTACCTTAGAAAATTGCTTATTCTTATTGAATTTCTTTAGGGGAATCATGGAATAGAGAAACTCAAGGAACAAGGAAATATAGAATATTAATAAAAACAAATTCTAGAGTAACCAAAGACAAAAGTACTTGCTAAATAGACTCATGTCAAGTGCTTCAATATAGTAAGAGCAATGTACATTCATATTTGTAATAATTCTTCCCAGATTCTTGTTACCAAAATGAAAATATCAGATAACCCCAATATGAGACATACTGAGAATAACGACTGAAAAATGTTCAAGTAAAAATCAGAGCACCAGGCATGGGGGACACTGCCCTCACAGTATAGGAGGCCATCATTGCTTGAATGAGATGGCTGGATCACTAATGCTCAGACCAGTCTCTACCTCTGCCACTCTGAGGACAAAGATCATGCACACACATAAATGGACACAGATGTGGGGTCTCACCACCAAGCAGCAAACGGACATTCTCTGAGAGCTGACTGAACTGGTTGGCACCATCTCTGCAGTCACTTCCCCAGTGGAGTTTATTTCCATGTCACAGATCAAATTCTTCTCCTCTGTGGTCTCACACAGCCAACTGAAGTCTTGGAAGCAGTGTTCCTGCCATGTAGAGAATCCACAGTGAATTTGAGACTATGTCTGTTGGGTGTTCTGATTTCTGTTATATAGGCTTTGGAACTAGAAAGGAAAAGGCAGGAAAAGACATCTTAAGTGAAGGAGAAGAGGAGTAGGGCACAGGGAAATACTGGAGTTTTGAAAGGAAAAGTTGGGTGTGTGAGATAAACAAGATGGGTAGGTAGGAAGTGTGAGAACTGGGGAAACTAAAAATAATGTCATATAAATGCCATAAATTTCTGTATTGTTATAAATATTTATGAAGTGTCCCTATTAGGTTTACTATATGAATATGGAGTAACAAAAATTGGCCTAAGACAACATAGAGACAGTAATGCATAACCTAGTGTGAGATAGAAAACGGAAAGGAAGAGTGGGTATTATAAAGTGATCATAAGGAAAACTCAGGAGGTGAAAAAGTGAGTATAGAAAATATGAAAATGTCTCCATAGGAACCACTGAGAGGAAGACAAACAGTAAAAAGGAGTGCCCCACATGTAGAATAACTGAGGCCTTAGGACAGCATTCTGTCAGAAAAGAGTAAAATCCAGAAAGTCCTAAGTGTTCCTGTTGAAGGGAAGGAGTTCTGTTAGAGGCAGCAATGAACCTGTCCACTTTCCACCTCAGGGAGAAGCAGTGTCAAAAAAAACAGAGGGAGAGACTGAGCACATATCTAAAAACCCAACTCTGGTTGGAGATTTTTAAATTCTCACTAATAATTAGGAGACATGACAGTGTGGAAACACAGTGTGTGCTGTGTGTTTGCTGCAAAAGGAACTAAATTAAGTGTGGTGAATTCTTCACATGGAAAATGTGTGCACAGAGATACTTTACACTGTCAATTTCTGTATCTGTCATCAGTGCAACTGATTCCTTTATCTGCTCTGATCTTTCCAGGTCCGTCTTTAGAGCCTCCTATACCAGGAAGACATGCAAATGAGGCTTCTCTGTGCCCATGAAAACCAGCCCTGCCCTGACCCTGCAGCTCTGAACCAGCAGCCCAGTCTGGGATTCCCAGGTCCTCCCATTCTGTGATCAGCACTGAACACAGGCCACTTGCCATGAACTCAGGACTCAAATTGGTTTTCTTTGTCCTTATTCTAAAAGGTAACTTATGGAGACAAACTGCTGTGTGTTCTGTTCAAAAGAGAGAAAAGAAAAAATAATTAGCTTCTGTGACAGTTTTCTCACTAGAATTTTCTGTGTTTTCAGGTGTCCAGTGTGAGGTGCAGCTGGGGGAGTCTGGTGGAGGCTTAGTACAGCCTGGAAAGTCCCTGAAACTCTCCTGTGAGGCCTCTGGATTCACCTTCAGTAGCTATGGCATGGACTGGGTCCGCCAATCTCCAGGGAAGGGGCTGGAGTGGGTCGCATACATTAGTAGTCGTAGTAGTAATATCTATTATGCCAACGCTGTGAAGGGCCGATTCACCATCTCCAGAGACAATGCCAAGAACACACTGTTCCTACAAATGAACAGTGTGAAATCTGAGGACACTGCCACATATTACTGTGCAAGAGACACAGTGAGTGAAAGCTGCTGTGAGCTCAGACACAAACCACCCTGCAGGATGCTCATGACCAGCAGGGGGCGCAAAGAGCACAGGTTCTCTGGGTCACAGAAGAGCCTGTAGAGAAGGGTATAAAGGACTGGACTCCTCTGTGTCTGGGATGCTGCTCCATGTCACAGTCGGGGATTCTTTCTACAGGCGTGGTATCCACTAATCCTTGAAGGGTCCACGGGTTTATTTACTCAAATTTCAGTTATCTGTGGATATGTGTGTCTATTATAACATTTCCCTCTGTTGCTGTCTCTCTGTCTTTCTTTCCCTCCCTTCTGGTCTCCCTCCCTCCCCACCTCTCTCTATATATATGGTTGGTGTGTTTGTGTGTGTGTGTATCTTTGTGTTTGTGTACATATTGGTAGGAGATGACTTCCTCTATCACTCTGCATCCATGTGTTTGAGACAAGTTTCATCACTGGCTCTGAATCTCACAAACTGCGTAGACTGGTTGCCCTCTGAGTGCCAGTTATCACAATGATCTATGCCTCAGAGGTGGGCTTACTGGTTCGCTACCAAACATACCTCTCTTTATAGTTACCGAGGACTAAACACAGGTCCTTGTTCTTGTGTGGTTTGAACTTGAAACACAGAGCTATCTCTACAGCCACATTACACATGTTTTTCATGAAGGATGTCTCTGACTTGAACACCAGGCCTAGAATCTCACAGAGCAGATGATTCTGTATGGGGACCAGGGTCAGATCCTGAAGAAACAAAGGACTCTAGAGATTGTGGAGCCCTAGACTCAGGGCAGACACTCAGTAAGAGTCTGGGTTAGAGCACTGTGTTGGTTCAACTTAGGTAAAACAAGCAAACCAGGCAGGGGCAGAGATCCATGAACCCTGATGACCTTCAGTCTCTATGTCATCGTCACACAGGTTTCTTTTCCATTTTTTTCTTTGTGTTTACCATCTACAGTTCCACAAAACTTAATGTGTGTGATGAATTTTCTTTTAATCTATTATTCACTTTTTTTTCTGCAAGCTTCTAGGTGTCCTACATAGGCTGCTGTAGAAGAAACACGATGTGTAGGACCTCTGAAATAGAATGTGGTTCTCATTTTCAGTAACTTTGTTAAGTTACATGTTGGTAGCATATTTGGAAGGACAGAATTGAAAAAAAAATGTATTACATGTGTGTCTTCTTCAAGAAAAGTTTGCATCCTTTGAGGAAAATGGAAGAGAAGAAGATTTTGGGTAATGGAAGACTGGCTGGTTCAGGTGATGTCAGATAGAATTGACTGATTCTATGCTCTTGCAGGTATTTATCAACAAGTTAAGCAAGGTGAAGAAGAAGTCTTTGAGGCACAGATGCCCCAAAGCAGCCCAGGTTACCTGTCCTGTCTCTGTTCCAGTATCTCTGCAGAGCTTATCTCACTGAAAAATAGCAGCAAAATGATTATTCAGAACAGATTTATTCCAAAAGAAGTCACCGAAGCAAAACAGTGATATGTGCACTGGACAAGTTCAGCGAGTTCCGACAGGGATAGTTCTGCGTCCATCCACCGGCCCAGCCCAGCAGGATCCAACACATCCGAGCACTGTCCAGGCCATGGTAACAGTACAACACTGATAACTGGAAACAGGGTAAGACACAAGATGATGCCTAGACTGAAAATTGCTGTGATTACTTCTTGTTTCATAGCAGAATTTGCCAAACAAGTTTTAAAACACTTGATGGTGCATTCCTTATAAGAGACAAACAGCAAATTTCTTGTAACATTTGTAGATGTGAATCCTTAGGGAATAATACAAGTTATGGCACAATTGGACTTAACAGATATCTATAGAATATTCCATCCAAATAAAAAACAATTAACCTCCTTCTCAGCACCACATTGAACCTTCCCTAAAATCGACCACATACTTGGCAACATATCAAACCTCAACAGGAACAAAAAATTGAAATAACCCCCTGTGTCTTATCAGAACACCATGCTTTAAAATTAGAATTCAACAACAACACAAACT